TTGAGAATCATGATCACCAGAACCATGAAGAAAACGATGAAGAAGAAGAATTTGAAGCTACAACCGAAGAAGAACTTGAAGCTATAACCGAAGAAGAAACAAATAGCTGAGAACGATGATACAAATGATGAACTAGGAACTTTAAACCTTCCTCATATCGATGTTACAAAAGAAGAAGATGGTGATGAGCATCAAGGTCACCAACACTACGAAGAGCAAAACAATAATGAAGAAGAAGAAGCTGTAGATGCAGGTGAACAAGAGCAAGTAGCAGAGAATAACGATGCGAACCAAGACCAGCATGTAACATCGAGATATGGCCGTAACATCAGAAAACCAAAGTGGTTCGATGCTTACATTCTACTCGCTGAAGTTGAAGGTGGTAGACTCTTTCTCACCATAGATGGTGAACCAGAAAGTTACGTCGAAGCTGCATCGATACAAGCATGGACCTGGAAGCTCGTTAAGAAGCTGGCAGATGTGAAACCGATAGGTTTCAAGTGGGTCTTCATGATTAAGGATGATACATCACCCGTAGAAGGAGTTAAGTATAAAGCTCGGGTTGTTACAAGAGGTTTCAATCAGAGAGAGGAAGTATACTACAATGAGATATTCTTATCGGTGGTCAGACATACTTCCATCAAAGTGTTTCTATGGCTGGTAGCACGTCATGACATGGATCTTAAGCAATTTGATGTGAAGACGATGTTTCATGGGAGAAACAAACACATACTCTCGAAGTACTATTTCATCCGTGAGTGTGTAGAAGATGATCACATCGAAGTCATGCACATACCAGGAGTTCAATAGATCAACAAGCCCGAGATTCAAGTTGGAATAAAGGGGGAGAATGTTGGATAATTCCAATTAATTTAAGGAGAAAGTTAACTTATTAAAGTGAAGTTTAATGAGTTAAGGAAATAGGAAAAAAATCAAGAAAGGGAATTTTTCCATATTATTATTAGGTTAAGAAGTAGCTTTGACATATATAAGGAGTTGCAGAGATGTTGCATTCCTTAAAAGAGAAACAAGAGAAACACTTTAGTTTAGTTTTGAGTGAGTTTCTAAATCTAATAAGAAGTACTAGTTCTTATATTTGTGTGTTCTTGCAACTTTATCTTTAATGATCGATTTGTACAAATATAATGGAATGGACAAGGTTTCAAGTAATGCATATTATTGGGCTGACGATATATCACATAGAGGATTGGCTAAACAAAACTCTGTCTTTTCTTTTTGACAACAATAGAAACTAAACTATAATCTATGCTCTTTCGAGTTGGAGAACTAATCTGGAAGCATAGAACTGACACAGAACATAACCGAAGGGGAATAACTAGCACCACGTGCAAGTTTGTCCGCCACTAAATTATGTGCTTTGCGTTATATATCGGATGTGAGAGAAGAAAATCTTACTGCCTCGGAACTCCAGCAAAAGCTGGTCATTGTTCAGGCGATAACACCATCTTTATCAATTGAGAACAGTCTGTTGCAAAAACTACTTCTGGGAAATTGTGGATCTTCATGCACTCCATAGCCCAAATCAAAGCCTCACATTCTGCATGTAAAGCGGATAAGCTTCTTCGGAGATTCATTGCCCCCATCATCTTCTCTCTTGAAGCATATTTGTTCTAAAGAATCATCCCTATCCTTAGAACTTATCTTGTGCCCTCCACGCTACATCAATAAAAAAACTCGGGAAACTTTTGTTGAGAGCCAATCAGCTGAAGAGATGATCGGCTGATGACTGCCAAGAACCGTAAGTTGGGCATCAGCCCATACTACACTCTCCGCTTCCGTTATCCGAAGAATTTCATGCGGGCTACCACTCTTACCTGTATAAACCTGATTATTCCTATTCTTCTAAATTTACCACAATATCCAAGGGAAAGAGCTGAAACAATATGTGTTGTATATATAAAATTCTAAGATATTTTGGTTTTTATACATGTAATATATAGTTTAGTATGTTAACCCATTGTGCAAAAATATTATATTATTTAACTTAAGTATTTATAAATAAAATATAATAATATATCGATTGAATATAATGCTTCATATTTATCTCAGAATAATAATTATTTTAAAATGATAGATTATGGTAATAAAATAATATAATGCTTCATATTTATCTCAGAATAATAATTATTTTAAAATGATAGATTGTGGTTATAAAGTAAATAAAATATGCTAAATGGTTTCTTATAAAGGATAACTGAATATATATTAGTTGATAACAATATTTTATTATTAATTAAAAAATGTGAAAATGTTAAAAATAAAATTTTAAAATTGAGATCATTTTAACAATTTTCAAAAAAAAACTGTTAATATTTGTAAAATATATATAGAGTTTATATTTAAAATAAATGATATCAAAAGATATCGTATATATTAAAACAGAAGTCATAACTTGACTTCATGTGTGATATTTTTAATTTTAGATATATTCCTATAAAGGGAGTTACATTACATATCTCAATCATTAATAATCTTGATTTTAAATAATAGACATTGTTAATATAATCTGCTTTATTCCCTTCACGATCGGAACTAACTTATCTCACGGTTATGTTTTAAAAAAACTATTATTCCTTTTGGTTTAACGCCAATTTGTATGATTAACATATACTAGGATAAGATCTGCGCATTGCGCAGGTTAAATGTATGTAATTAAAATATAAAAATTTTGTATTGACAAATTTACATATGATTATTTTTATATGTATTTGGAATTTTGGAGTTTTTATATAATTATCTATACATAGGATAAAAAACAATTGTAATTAGAATCATAGATCAAATAGAATTTAATGGGTCCAGTTCATATATCTCTTCACTTTTCAATGTTCGAGTGATGGAAAATAAATGGAGTGTCATATGACTTAATTGGTAGAGCATTATCAAGTTCTCTAATGCTTTCTTAAGAAACAGTTGGTAGAATATTTCCAATTAGAATATATAAAGTTTCAAAACTAATTTAATATAATTTATTTATTTGTCTAATAATATCAGAAAATTATATTTGTAAAAAAAAAAATTTAATAAAAAAAATTAAGTTAAATTTTAAACTATAATTATGTTTAAAATAATATTATTTATTCATATGATTTTATAATCATTGTAACTTATTATAAAAAAATAGACCTTGATCACAAAAGTTTATGTGAGATTTTTAACAGTTTTAAGAATTTCTTCTCGTTTTGGAAATTTCAAAATACAACATATATAAAAAAATCTAAAATTTTATTATATGATTAGTGTAGTTGTATAATTTATTTTAATAATAAAAAATTTAAAAAAAAATGAAATAAAGTATACATATGGTTAACAAATATTTATTATTTAAAATCATTAATAGTCATATATATTTTAATCACATTAGGTAATTCCATAGGTTTTATTTAAGGAAAGAATATATAGGAGATTTAGTTTGGTATGTTATTTTGTTTGATATGTCTTATATGAGATCAACGGACAATGTTTTTAAAATATACTTTATATGAGGTGCTTTAGAAGTCTTCTAAATTGAATCAGAAGACATAGAAAAGTGCCTTATAGGATGAAGTTATTTTTTAATTAATAAAAACTTAAGGTTATAATTTTTTAAATTTTTTTCAATTAATATATAGGGGATCACTCTTTCTTTTTCTTGGATGACAAGTATATTACTTTTATCATACCCATATCAATGATAAAATAAAATCATTCTATGAAAACATATGAAAAAACTTAAGATTTTTTTTTGTTTTTCAGTATGAATACTAGATAATATAAATCTGTGAAGCTACAAGTTTAATTTTTTTAAAAAAATTTCTAAATTTGTGAAATGTTACAATATCTTTGAAGATGACAATAAAACAATATTTTCCCAATTTTTATATATATAGTTATGCTTTCAATAATGAATAATTCAAATATATATTTATATATAGAAGAATATACAAATACATGTGAAAGTTACAAACAAGTTTTTTCAATAAAAAAAAATATACAGTAAAATTATTATGTTTTAAAAATTGATAGACACATTTCATATATATTACAATATATACCAATTTAGAATTGAAAACAAAATATTTATAAAAATAAATGAAAACAAAAATCTGTGCGGTTGCGCATGTCGAGATCTAGTTATAGTTAAAGTAGTTACACATATATATATAAAAAAAGTAGTTACACATATTTTATATTATGTCTTAATATATAATGAAAATATGATATAATTTTTATTTTCATTTTATAAAGGATAGCTGAATGTATATTAATCGGTATAATATTTATTATTTAATTGAAAAATTATTGAAAATGTTTACATAAAATTTTAAAACTCGATATCTTGTTAAAACAAAATATCAAAAAAAATAATTAGAAATGAAAAGATATAAAAAAATATATTATGATTAAAGTATTTACATATATTTTATTTTTAGTTTTAATAAAGTGTAGTTATAAATTTCTAAGGAATTTTCCAATTAAAAATATTATATATGAAAGAAATTATGAATTCTTTTTAATAGTATAGATGTCAACAATTTGGTAATCAGTTTTTCTTATTTTAAATTTGATTTTCATACTAATCTATTCAGTGATAATTTCATCAAAATTTTGAAAAATTATTTTATTGTACCGTATCTGTTTTGATTTTACTTTCCTTTGGTTAGTCATTGAATTTATTAGATGATAAAGGTAAAGTTCAATGTTCAAAATAATCATTGACTTCTTCATCAAAATATTATTTTCATACTAATTTACTCATATAAATTTCTATTCAAAGTTTTGAATAAAATATTATATTATACCTTTTTAATCAGATCGTAGCTTATTTTTACTCTATTGACTTTATTAGACAATAAATGCATAATCGTTCAAGAAATCATTGACTTCTTCTTCCAAATTTATATCACCAATCAACTATATAAACTTCTAAGCACTCATCAAAACCTAACATAAGAATACATTTCCAACACATTAAAACACCTAAAAACTGCTTGTGAAATATGAAGAACATCAGATCTTCAGTTGTTGTTAGTATCATTGCAATAATTTTGTTGTTGGTCGTTACAGGTTAATCAAAGCACTTTCATTACTATTCTCAAATTTTCTAAATATTATTCTGACTAAATATAGTTGATAATATAATATTATCCTGGCTAGCAAATATTAATAATATCTAAATATTAATCAAGCATATTTTGCTTTGTTTTGCAAATACGTAAGAGGGTAATATGTGTTTTAAATCTATTTGCAACTATTAATAATATCTTACGGCATTTAAATATATACAAATATGATCCTAAATATTCGCAGTTGATTGTGTGCGTTAAAGTTGTTTTAGTGACCGTTATACTTGATATATTATTATTTTTACTTTGAATTATTAATATCTACCTAGCGTTGTTGTTTTTTTCATAACGGGTTTCCTTAGCATTGTTATGAATATTGTTTTATCATACTTTTAAACTCTTTCATAAATCATTTTATAAATATTTACTTATTTTTCATAAAAATTTTATTTATCTGAATCTTAATTTAATAACAGTTTTGTATTTTCCAGTTTATCATTTTAATGTTTTCACATATATTTGTCGATGGTGGAAAGATCTCTTTCATATTTTATATATTAAATTATATTGAAGTTTATTTTTATTAACTTAAACATTGCTTAAAACTATATCTAAAAACTTCTTAGCAAAAAAAAAACTATATCTACGTTCTTTGGTTTAAAGGGTTTTACTCGCTATATATCTCTAACTGATCCTTGTTATTTTTCAGAACAAGTGAACGCATTCACCATTGTTGGTGACTGTTTTGGACCCTGCACTGACGCTTGTGAACAAATTTGCAAGTCGAAAGGTTATAAAGACTGGTTTTGTGGATCTTTTAAAGACAAGACTGGTTGTTGCTGCAAACCACCAAAGAACCAAAGCTTTGGGCAATCCGTTAAAATGAACAACTAAAAGTAGAATATCTTTTACTTTGTATGATCATTAAAAAAATTAAATAAGATTTTTCAGAATTCATAGAATAATTTTAACTTATAAAATTAATAATATTATTTGATAAGTCAGTTTCTTATATATCGTGTTTAACTTATTTTTAATGGTGGTTAATTAAGATGCACCGTTAATGAACTAAAAATACTAAATACAGTTACCAATATTAAAATTTATTTTCCTTTATATTTGAATTTTTATGTTAATTAAAGACTTGCTTTTTTATTTTTTCCAATATACTTAAAATATTATAAATTTTCAAACGAACTTTAAAGAGTAAAACATATTTATGTATAATGTGAATAGGTAAAAATAAGGCTTAACAAAAATAATTTTAATATTAAAAAATAGATTTCTTTTAAAATCTACTTTATGAAAATAAAATATATTTTCAAAGTAATATTTTATATATGGGTTATTTTTTAGATAATTACAGAATAAATAAATAACTTTAACAATAATATATTTAGTAGAACAATATTTTAGAAAATAACAATAATATTTTATAATTAGTATTATTGAGATGTTTATTCATTTTCTATAATCTTTAGTTGGTTAAAAATGTTTATAGGTATTCTCCAAAATCAAAGGTAAAATAAAAATTTACTAGTTTATATAGTTATGTTTTCCTTATTTTTATGCAAAAAAAAAAAAAAAAATCTAGGGATGCTTCAAATAAATAAAAATAAAATATTTTTAAAAAATTACTTTGTAAAATATATATGCATGAAATTTTTTTAAAAAAATCTTCGTTATATTTATTTATGTACTTTTGATCGATCAACTTCTTAGTTTATGTTGGATTTTTAAAACAGTATATATAATGCTACCCATAATCTTACTTGAATATTTTACATATTCAGAAAAATATCAATCTGAATGCAAATAAAACAATTAAAAAATAATATTTTTTTTAGAACAAAAAAATTATTATGATTGAATCGAAGAAGTTGGTGCTATCTAACATGTTCCAGTGATAATCAAGCTAACTAAATATTACATATGTAAAATTACATGTCTAATTAAAATTGGAATTAAACTATTAATTAATAATTACAATATATTTATTTTGTAGATATTTATACTCGTGTTAGTACATGAACACGGAAGAATCCCTTAATAAATAAATATTTTGAATAATTGTTTAACACTACACATATTTGAGATTATCTAATATCGAAAGTCTCAAAAGCATATACACATCAACGTATTTTTGGAACAAAACTTAGGTTCACTTTCTAAGGTGAACTTTTAAATTCACATCTCATTATAAAATCAATTAAAGTATCACATAGATAACTAATTTCAAAAATATTAAATTCATTTAAAAATATTAAATTCATTTAAAAATAACTAAAAAAATAAATACCAATTTTAACGCTGCTGACGTCGCTAACTAAACCGTAAACCCTAAATTTTAAATTCTAAACCTTAAACCTAAACCCTAAATCCAAACTGTATATCCTAAACCCAAAATGCATATCCTAAACCAAACCGTAAACTTTAAATCGAAACCCTATACCCTAAACCAAATCCTAAACTCTAGACCCAAACCGTATACCCTAACCCCATATCCTAAATTTAAAACCCAAACCGTAAATTCTAAACCCAAACCTTAAGCCTAGACGCTATTAGATTTGGGTTTAGGGTCTAAGATTTAGGTTTAGAGTATATGGTTTAGGCAGAAAGTAACATTATTCTTACAAGTACAACCATCTTCCACCTTAGTCAAATTTTAGTCCTTTTTTTTTTAACCCAAACTTATATCAAAACCAAAGTGGCCGGGAAAGTTATCCAAAGGATGTGTAATTCATACAAAGGGCTAATAATCTGTAGAGTTCAGATATCTAGGAATAAACGATAAAGAAAAGATACAGAAAAGCGAGGATATGATATCAATGTCGCCGGGTAATTCTGCTGAGTTCTACCAGTGATGACTTCCTAGTCTTGATCCTCTTCTTTATAGGCTTCCATTCTTCTTTAATTTCCCAATTTATCGAGGGTGTAGAGTCGTGATGCATAAAGAGGTGGGACAAGAGCGAGGTCCATTAGGAGTTTGGTGAAATTTAGCTCACATGAGGCTCTCTCTAGTTTCTTATATGCCAATATATAATAGGATTTTTAACATTAAAACTCCTCAAATAAGTTTGTTTTGGATAAAAACCCTTGAACTAAGTTTTTAGCGGAAAACCTTCAAACTAACTTTATTTAATGGATTAAACCATCTGTCTACAGTGCATGTTAAAATGACCATTAGCAACGGTAAATCTTCAGTTTAAGGATTTGTACACTAATTAAACATAATTGAGATGTTTTACCACTAAAAATTTTAAAAATCAAATAAATTAAATTAAAATACAATACCTTTATCTAAAAATTAGTAACTTAAATTTGCAACTTCAGCATTTTAACAATTTATGCAAATATATGAGTATGATTTGTTTTTAAAATCAACACTTTTTTGGTAACATAAAATCGACACTTTATATGTAGAAATTCAAAATATAAAAAACCAAAAATATAAGAAAATGATGTATTTACCATTAAAGATATTAAAAATCCAAAAATAAAAATATGTAAAATTATAAAGTAGAATAACATTATCTAAAAATTAGTAACTTGAATTTTTAAAATTGGCATTTAAAATTTTTATGCAAATTTATGAGTTTAGTTTGTTTTAAAATCAACATTATATGTATAAATTGACTGGTGGTGGTTGATCTCTTGATCGACATAAGAGTAAAACTAATTATCTAAAAAATAGTAACTAACATTTCAAAATTTAAGTTACTAATCCTTAGACAATGTTATTCTATTTTAAAGTTTTACATATATCTTATAAAATTATATTTTTTCTAAAATGGTTTTATACGAAAGTTATCAATTTTTGTCATTTATAATTAGAGATTTGGTTTATTTAATTTGGATACAAAGAAATATTGTTTTATTAAACAAATATTAGACAAAATAGTTTGGTAGGGTGTTGAAAACAAAACCATTGTAAAGTAAAATTTGAAAGAGTGTTGAATTAATAGGTGGAAGAGAAGAAAGTGATGTGGAATGTTAAAAATATGTAATTTAGGGTATTGAATAATTTTTCCATTGTAGATAGTCAGATGAACAAGTGTAAAAAATATTCACAAATCAAGGCTCTCCGAATGTCATTTAAATTTGGTCAACACATCCCCTATATATTTAATTATGACTTATAATTTAGCGATGAGGTGTCTATCACCTCAGATCTTCCCACAACTCTTAGTAAAATGATCATCTATTATATTAAAAGAGAAGTCATGACTCACTTCATGTGTGATATTTTAGTTTGGAGTTTTATAAAATTTTACATAACATTATAATATCTTTTCATATCTTTAATTTTTGTTTGAAATACAAATAAATAATTTTAATAAAATTCTAACAAAATCTTTTAAAAATCTTTAGAATCTTTTTCAAGATATAGTTTCAAAAATTATTTTGATTAAAATTTTAACTATCATAAAATATAATTAAAATTTAATTCCTTTTTTAATTTATAAACAAAAAACTAAAATTATTTAAAATACTTTTAACAATATCCCAAAAAAATTTTTATGTATTATGTAAGTCCAACTTAATTAATTTTTACATAGATTTCAAATTTAGAAATAAAACAATATATATAAATTAGTAATCTTACATAATAATGTTTTTTAAAATTGTTACAAAAATACAAATTTATAAATTTTATATTAATAATATTATTAGTCATATAAAAATTATTATAAAATTGGATAGCATACATAATCAAATTATACTTATTTTTTGATAAATTTTATTATATAATTTCAAATATTTTTTGTATTAAAATACCCGCACGGTTGTGCGGGTCGAAATCTAGTTACTTATTAGAATAATAAGTGATTATCCGCACTCATGCACATAATGAAATTTAAATATAAAAAATTGTTGAAATATTAACTTTGATTTTTTGATCATTGTTTTATAAGTTCCCACAAACGTATAGTCTTGTTTTTTTTAAATATATATTAATCCAACTCGAAAAAATGAGGAATTATATCCGGTTACAAACAGGTTTTGAACAAAAAATTTAAAGTCAAAATATTTTCACTTTATAATCATGTATTGTTAATATAAAGTTGTTGAGTATTGGATCATGTTAATATTTGTTTTAAACCTATTTAATTTATATTGGATTTCAATGATATAACCGAGATGTTACCATTCACATTCTCACATCAATATAAAGAATTGTCTATCTGAAATTTGATATGTGTCGCTAAAAAGAATATTAATTATATATACAAATTATTATATTTTTATTCATTTACGTATTATGCAATAATATATATATATATATTAAATAATTTAGAATTAAGTAACTATTACATATATAGTTAAATTGGAGTAAGCACATAAAGAAAAATAATCTCTTTATTATTTACAATAATTTTGTTGATAAAAAAGTAAAACAATCATTTTCTATTTTACACGGCATATAAATAAAATTAAATAATATTGACATAGATATATAGTATCGTTTAATAGGAATATTTATTGTTGAGGCTTTGTACTCATATGACTTTATTAACATTTTTATATTTGCTCCAAATTTTTTTTTTTTTTATTAGTAGGAATATTTATTAACTGAGGCTTCCTATTCAATGCAAATTTTGAAGTTAACATTTTTATGTGTTTTATATATGATATTTATTTTATTTAAACAATATTGAGAAATATATATATATATATATATATATATATATATATATATATATATATATATATAAACTGATTATATATTAAATGAGATTTCCTATTTATATGATTTATAATTATTTTTATTTTATTACCACAAAAAATTAAATTCTTGATCACAAAATTTTCCTTATGGGATTTTAATAATCTTAGTAATTTATAGCCGTTTTAAAAATTCAAAATATAGCATTTAAGAAAAATCTAAATTT